ATATAGGCTCCTCACACTTGGCGGTCTCATCTGGCGGAACCTTCCGTTCTCCTGCAAAACTCTTCTTTTTTGTTTTTTTCTTTCTATCTTTCTTCATATTGTCTGGTAAGTTACATTAGTTGTTATCATGGCTGAATTTCGTAATTTATCCACCTCCGAAAGGTCCATCCAGGACCATCTTCAAAAGCTTTATGATAATCATCACTCTCAGACTGTACTCACAGATTCTCGAATGCAGGAACAAAATGAAAAAATTGACCGTAAAAACCACAATATCGAGCATCAAATTGAACTTCTTCAGCATGCAGTCCATGCATTACAGTTGAAAGTAGATGATACTTCCTGGACTACCAAAAACCAGTTGGAACGTTTGGCTCGAATCTCAGAGGATAGTCTTCTTGCACTGCGCTCGATCATGTATGATTATCCTTACGTACCTTTGCCTCCTCCTCCACTTGATTGTTCATCGGTTTCTGAACCACCTATTGTTTCCCCTTCTATTCTCCGCCCTTCTTCCGATACTCATCCTTACTGTTTCCCTAGTGTACACTTTTGGAACGTGTCATTCGAACAGGGACAAGAAGAAGCGCCATTCGAACTCGGTGATTTTGTCCTTATCGGTAAGGAACATCGTAAGCCCGCAGCACGAATTACCCAAATTCTCTTTCTGCAGGACAAATATGAAATTGAATTCTATGATGGCTGTGACTTTCTCGCACAGCCCTGTCTGACCTCGAGTTGTTACGTATTTCCTTACTCCATTCAGGATGACTTCGTTTATCAATCGTACACATCGGATATTCCTCTTTCTAATCCTGAAGATGAACGCACTCTGTCAGTAGATGGTGACTCAACTGACCATCCTTCAACGGAAGCTGAAACAGTCCAGCTAGCTCCGATTTCCTCTTCGCCTACTGATAAACTCCTTGTGTCTTCTTCCAACGAATGTGCCGATTCCCTTGCCGGTCTGTCCGACATATTTTGTGAGCATGATCCATATGAAGTTTTTTGTGTCGCGATTGCTGATGCAGTGCCCCTCCTTGACTTCCATGCTATCAAACTGCATCAAGGCATCGAACCACCCACCCTTTCCCCCATGCTGGTGCCAGATCTTGCCTCTTTTGAGGATTTATCACTGTCCGTGAAACCGATCGCAGCTCCAATTGGGTTGAAGTTTCTGAATAGTCTTAATCGATGAAACAATATTGGAAATTTCTTCTGCCAAGTTACTTGATGAAGATGATGGAAGTGTAATATTGATTTAAAATTTATCCGCAAAGAAAATGCACAAAATTAATAAACCACTTCGTAGTGGTACGATTTGAGCTTGCATTGTAACTTAAGAATCAAAAATGGAATAACTTTTCTTCTAATAAACAGATTTTTTTTAATTGTTTTTTGTTTGCAGTTTCACAAACTCGGACTCTTCTGAGACACTAAAATGAAATTATAAGTTCTGTATGATGCAAATTCTGAATACGATAGTCACCACAGCAATCACTGTCTGTCAAAAAAAACCGGTGTGTCCATTTTTTCAATGACGTTTGACAAGAAACTGGTAGAGCCCTCAGATTTTACCAATCTAAAAAATCAAGACTTATCCATTGCCAAATTTTCTACATGACTTGTCTCACCAAAACGAGAAAATAAAAAACCGCGTTTTAATGCGGTTTCTTATAGGAGTGTCGAAACTACAAAAAGCACCTTTCTTTCCGTTCTTTTTCTCAAGGCACTGAAACCCGTTTAAAATGATTATAAAAGAACATCACCATAAAAGAAAAAGAAAAGGAAAAACGTTGAACTTAGAGAAAGAAGAAGAGAAAAGAAAATGAGAGCAAGTAAAATAGATGCAGGAAACTGGGTCGATAAGAGAAAAGCACCTGATATTGGCTTTAGGATGAAATTCATCTTGTAATATTTTGGATATCCTTATTATAAGGAATTGAAAGAACTGAGTGCATTTATATGTAAGGTAGACGATAAACTAAACTGAATTGTGCACAGACGTCTTTTTAGTGCAGTTCTAAAATATGCATAAGTATGCCACAGTTAATATTTTTTTGGAGGGTAAGGATTCTACTGATCAACATTATTCTTTCGTTTTCCGTCTTTGTCTAATTATTGTGTGTGGTACTATGTTGCATTTTACTTTGGCGAATAAAAGTCAAACGATGTGTCTTATGAATAAACGATTGAGTTTGATAGCGTCGAAATATATATCATGACATTGTTAAGCGGAAATTAGTTTGATTTCTCATCTTATTGTTAGCTATTGAGAAATTATTAATGCCAATCTTTTCTATCAAAAGTAAGTAGTAGGAGACAGATTTGAAATACAAACCACCGATCTGGTCGAACTTTTCAATTGGCCAATTTTCGTGGTTTTCTGTTACCGTTGTCCCAAGCAAGACGAAACTCATGTAGTTTTTATTTTTTTTTCATGTAAGTTTTAGAAATGTAAACAAAACAGACTCTTTAGTTTCAAATAATAATGTCTATAATTTCAAGATGAAGGGTTCAGGGACAATCAAGCAGTGTATTCAACAAATAACTGGCTATATGTGGGAGTTTGGGAACAAGTAGTAATTAGTTACGGTTTATTCATTTTCAAGTTGTCAAAAAAAAGTTGATCGGACTGAAGCCAAACTTTTCGATATCCAGTCCGCAAGGCGATAGTATCGACTCGATACACTTCGAAGCTGATGTAGATAAATATCTTTACTTTTACTTGCAGAAAGTGTTCAAAAAACGGTTACAAAGGAAGCGCAGTTTGTCACATTGGCATAGATCCAAGCATAGATCCTGCATTTTCAGGAAGTATTCTGCATTTGCAGAAAGTAAGAGGTTATTCGTAAAATGAGTACCACCGAGCCTCTCTATAAGCTGCAGATTTCGAATCTGCATCAGTTTGTAGTAAAGTGATCGGACTAGCCCTTCTAAGTGTTAAATCTAAATATTTAAGTTGTTTTCTATTTTTTTGGATTGATAGTTTTATTAAGTAGAAAAAACCACCAGGAAAACCACCTCTGGTCGGGGTCGGAAACTCACAACCATGTACGTTTAAGTGCATGCTGTCTACTATCAGATAACGAAATGATAAAATTTTTAGAACTTTGTGTTTAGTCATCGTAGGAGATCTTCTAAGAGCCCTCGACCTCCAGTCAAAAATCCTTGGAAAACCTCAGATTTTTGAGCTTTCTCCAAAATAAAAACTGTTTTTAAATAACTGAAAGTGAAGTCTGTCGAGTGTCTTTGTTTAAAAGATTAAATGATAACAGCGAATATTTTTAATTGCAATATATTTCCGAAAGCCCTCTGCTCAAAAGTCCAGTTTTCTAGAAGTCCATTATGAAAGTATAAACCAAAGCAGATTGTTATCGTCACTGGAATCAGCATGTCTGAAAACCTCCAGGCTCTGAGATTCAACCTAAAATCTTCATTTCAGTGGACTGTATCCCAATTTTTATTGTATTGGAAAGACGCTCATTGAAGCAGCTACTCGTACACAGATAAATTATGTGCACAAACACATTGTTTCTCAAAATACACAATCGATAAGCCTGTCAAAAATGGAGAATAGAAAAAATTGTCGAAAATGGTTTGGAATGGTACAGAATGGCCCATTCCGCTTTTTCCTCCTTGCGTAGATCACTAAAAAGAATCGCTTTTCGAAAACAAGTCAAATTTTTCTACCGGTTTCGAAAATAACTTTAATCAGTCGTTAACAGTCGGTCCGATTCGCTAGAATTCCGCAATCATAGCCGATCCGATCTGACTGATTGTTCTTCAAAGGGGTTTAACTGTGACAGACGAACGATTGCAGAAGCCGCAATCAAACTAAAACACTAAAACCTATCGCTCTTGGAGCACGGAATCATTTTCTAGACCAAACTCTATTCGATGGTATGCGTTTCAGAGTGTATAACGCATGATAATATACAATAGTGAATTGACTACTGCATGAAAGACATATACCAAAGGCTTTTTAAACGCTGAAAGACAATAGTTATACAGATAAATAGTATCATGTGAGATCAATCATCTCTGATGAAAACTTGCAAACAATATATCAAGTATAAATACAGGGTATTGTCTAATGAAATCCAATGTTGGGAAATTATGATTATTACAATAAAGGTAATTTATATATGCTCAATCACCAACAATATTTGTTGTTCGATTATTTCTTCCAAGTAGATGATATAGAATATAACAGTGATGCATTTTTGAGTATTTTTCGAAGTTATTTATCTGCTTCTGGAGTATAATGTCAAAATCGAATAAAAATGTAAAAATTAATAAAATAAATAATATGTAAAAATGATAGCATAATTTTTAACAGATGGATATTTAATTGACACACACATAATAATTGAAACGAGACATATGATGACGCACGTCAATAGAAACGCAACACGACACATGAAACGAAGGCATCAACGTGCTTTACAACATGAACACCTACATGATAACGGTATACAATGCTGTGAAGCTTTTGAAAAAAATACTTTTTGTCTTTTCCGTTGAAACTACATGCAAAGAATGTTATGCGGAAGACATGTATAATATATACTCTTTTGTTTCTCATTTTATGTTTTCTTTTTGCCACCACTCAAAAACTCATGTACATATTTTTCAAGGACGACTTCGTAAAAATAAATACGACTTCTTGTTTTGTGTTCAAGAATTTCAGTATTGAATTTTAACCATGCTGGTTGACCGTTAGCTGGACAGGCCGTATAGATAATAATGTGCGGCAAACTCAGCTCTATCCATCTGTATACGAAACATCTCTCAGATCCTAAATTTTCTTATTTTATACTATCCCCACAGTATGAAGAATCTCTCAGATCCTGAAATTATAATAATGCTTGATTTTTGTACAAAGAAAGTGCTGAAATGACTTATAAAAGAGAAGAAAAAATATACAAAAGAAGTAATAAGAAAAAGTATGCAAAAATAATCGTTTAAGAAGAGAAGATTTTGTATGTTTTGTGAATTCAGTTGAGTTGAGGTTCACCAGCAACAATTCCAGATTCAATACCGCATTCACTAAAATACAAAAAACATTATATTTTTTCGTCTCTGCATTTCTCATAAAGTATACTCACTCTTTTCCTCGTAATATTTTGAAAAAACCATTATCACCCCAATCGTTGTTCCATGAATTGGCGACTAACCAATACGATTGATTGTTTTCAACACCCCAGCCAAGCATTTTAACAGCTAGAAATAATATTATGAAAACCTATTCAACAGTGAATCAATGAACATACCATGTCCGCCCAATTGTTGTCCACCTTTACATATAAAACCACGAGTAGATTATACTGGTTAATTTAATTTATTTATACAAGAACACTTACTTGTATGTTTATAAACGCCTGAACTGTACAATACGAAATCGGCACTAAAACATTTAATAGTATTCGTAGAGAATAGTTACTTGTCACAGCAACAATGCTCAATATATATAGAATTTCTCTAGCGTTGTAAAAAGAAAAAGTTTTACTCGACATCATCAAAACACATTATGGTCATTCAAAACTTGATGAGAAAAGGTGGTCAGCGTTTTTTTAGAAGTATTTTCTCTCTCACAAGTATCATTGTCCTAAATAAAGTGTTGCAATGAGAGATTTAAAGTCCCATGTTCAGAGAACTGGCCAAGTCAGAGGATTTGCAAGTCACAAGTCAAGTCAAGGTGAGAAAATGTTTTCTCCCAAGTCAAGCCAAGGTTGGTTAAAAATTAAGCAGAACATCAAATTTGCTAACGCCTTTTGGGTAAGAGACAGTTCTTATAGCTTTAGAAACTCTGTTTCATGTTAAAAATGCCTAATTTAAACGAAAATCTGACTAGAAATGACTTGACTTAACAAATTTTTCGACTTCAGTCACGGACACAAAACAATGTCTCAAGTTAAGTCACAATAATTTTCGACAAAGTCGACTTGACTAGGACTTGAGGCATTTTTTACTTGACTTGTCCAGCTATGTGTGTTCACATGATGAAACATTATACTTCATGAATTTGCTATAAACAAGCACTGCATCTTGTATGCCTGCCATCAAATGTGAAAGATGAACTTAGGCATCTTATATGACTAGAAAGTTGAAAAAATTTTATATAAACTTCGACATATTCTCAACAGAATATACGAATTTTTCCTTGTAAAACTTTGCTAAAATGTTTGATGTTGCTGATCGCCAACTTTGATAAATTCTACAATAGTCGATTAGTTTCGTGTAATAATTATTAGTCTTAGCTTTCAAAAGCACAAAGAGATAGCTCTAACTCTAATAAAAATCTCTTTATATAATTTTCTTAGAAATAGTTTTGATTTATCGGAGAGAAAACACGGAAAATAACGCTGACACTGACGAGGGAACCTTTCGAGATGATTAAACGCTTTTTGATCGACATCTAGTGGGTTATAGGTTATCGACCATGCTGATTTCGAATATGATCATGGGACTGGCCCATAGCTCTTCGAAGATCCAGTCTTCTGGAAAACCAGTTTTTCAGAAATCCGAAAAAATAACCCAAGCCTTTCTTAATAATACAGGATTGTAGCACGCAAATTTCTGATTAAAATGATACATCCCCCAGCTCTACACGACCTTTCTTTGAAAAGTTATAGAATTTATAAGAAGAGCCATAAATTAATTCTTTCCTTCTTATTTCTGTAGCTTTGAGCTGACAATGAACAATTTAAGGCTCTTCTTGTAAATTCTATAACTTTGGAAAGAAAGGTCGTGTAGAGCTGGGAGATGTATCATTTTAATCAGAAATTTGCGCGCTACAATCCTGTATTATTAAGAAAGGCTTGGGTTATTTTTTGGGGTTTCTGAAAAACTGGTTTTCCAGAAGACTGGATCTTCGAGCTATGAGCCAGTCAGTAGCTATGAGCCACTACGTCACTTTACTCTTCTACTCAGAGCAGTTTCTAAGCTCGCTCGAAAGAGCTCCTAAAGACTCTACACAGCTTATGTAATACCACGTACTAGACTGTAAATGCTGTTTCGACGGGACCATTGGTCATTATTTCTGTTTGTATTTGTTTAACATCTGATTTAATTGTATAAACCGTTTTGCCAAAATGTTTATCGTCTTTATATGGAATTGAATATGTATCGATACATTTTTTAGCACATTTCGGTGTTCCCTGTTCACCTTGACAAGGTGGAAGAGTCTTGTTAACACTAAAAGAAGAAAATGATGAAATCAGCAAAAAGAAAATAACTAAAAACACTCCTACTGATGATCACATGATGGAATTGTATATGGTTCACATCCTTCGCTCGAATTGTAATTACCTCCGGTCACAAGTCCTGTCCTCTTGTAATAATTCCTGTTTGATTAAAACAATATATACACGTATAGTAGGTGTCATAAGTGAGCACAGAACAGCGACAAACCTTTTACAAGCACTCTCTTCAGCAATAAACGTTCTGGAAAATTGTTTCTTTTTATCTTCAGGCAGAACCGTAACGTTTTAGCTACGCTATTTCACAATAGAGTTTATCGTATATAAAAGAAACAACGTTGATCGATTTTCAATGAGCTAAAGGCAGTTGATTATGTGTCTTTTTAGATATTTTTGGAACAGTCAAACAATTTTTCTACACCATTCGAAAGAGAAAAATTCATCTACACGATGAAAAAAAAATTGAAAAACTATTTCTGATTAAAATATACCAAGACACTTTTCAAACGTAACTAAACATTTCATTTAAACATACAAACGACCCACTAGTTCTTCGAAACTCTCCTGGCATATTTTAAATTTGAATTTATTAGAATCAGAAAAGGTTTTATTTTAATTATTTTTCATCGTGTAGGTGAGTTACCCTCTTTCAAATGGTGTAGAACTATTGTTTGACTGTTCCAAAAATATCTAAAAAGACAGACATAATCAATGTACAGTACCTTTAGCTCGTTGAAAAATTGATCAACGTTATTTCTTTTATATACGATAAACTCTATTGTGAAGAAGCGTAGCTAAGAAGTTACGGTTCTGTGTAACGACAAAAATAAGAGATTTTTCAGAACATTTATTACTGAAGAGAATGTGCTTGTAAAAATTTTGTCGTTGTTCTGTGCTAACTTATGACCCTAATTGTATCTAATCGACGTACCATGCCTGATGTGGGAATCCTCCATTACATCCAAAACCACATAATCGACAACAATCAACTAAATCTTCGGCTGATATATGAGCGTTTGTTGCACCTTTCGACGCTATACACACACGGTCAGACATTGCCTCTATAGAAAAGACCTTTTTAGTTTTGTTCACCTTTCTTCCTTCCTTCATTTCTTACCAACAGCTCCAAATGCCCAGCAACTGCCACAACTGCCTTGATCTCGAATTTCTTTGATTGTCGGACAATCAGGCCATTGTTCTCCTAAATACACAACACACCACGTTTTAGTGGAAACAGAGAAATTAGTAATCAACTCATGCACTGTCAATCCAAATCACAAAAATACCTCAGACAGGATTTTGCCACATTTAAGCAAGCGTCAATCGAAAACTAACCATTTAGAGAACATGACGACATGTTTTCTAAATTTCCGTCGTGCTCAATGTACTTCAAATTTTCTTCTATCAGTGAGTCATTAGAGGGAGAAATTTTCTCCGACATGAGATATAACAGGTGCTTGCCGCAGAAGAAACTAAATACTTCTATAACGCATTTGTCTGGTTCAGCTAACGATCATTTAAACATTTGCAAAAAATTCATTCAGTAGATAGATAATTTTCTAGTTTGTTTTCTACAAAACAATCGACTTCGATTTTTGCTTTATACTGGATTCCACACAAGATATTCTACTTTCTATGGCTGTAGTAATATCTCAAATATAGTTTCTTTTCATCAAAATACTATTAACTCTTGATCGACGTGAGGTAATCGACGCTTTTTAACGTCAATTTACAGCACTAATGCTCTATAAAAATTTATGCGTTCATATCGTTTCATTCAGAAGTTATAATCATTTTGCTAAGACCGATGGCAGAGGACCTTGATGTATCATAGACAAAGGTGAAATCCTAATTCAATCGAGGTACCGTGTTTTGAAATTATTTTCAGGACTGCAGTCCTGAAAACAATTTTAGGATATATACATTGAAATATCCTTTCTAGGAGGGTAAAGTTTGAGAGTAGTATAGGCTAGGGATCCCCCTCTTTAAGCGTACAGTTTATCCTAAGTCAAGACGAGCTCAGTCGACAACAGAAAGAAATTATTTGAGAGAAAACTTTCCTAGTTTCTGAGTTTGTTGTCCTATCTTAGTTAAACTTCTTGTACCCCAGATCTTAACTTAAAAAATATCACAAGAACTTAGAAAAGCGGTTCTTAGCAAAATTTGTTGTGATGAACCAGCAAAACTGAAGCTGAATATGCCGTAAATTCGAAAGGATAGTTTGACAGCCTGACATGAATACTGCTAATTGGCATATGAGCGCCAAAATTTGCAGAGGTATCGGACGAGAAAATTGATCTTCAAATAGACCATTTTTCATATTCTACCTCCTTTTGAGTCCTTCCGTACAACAACCAGGGAACTTGTACGAAGTGAATTCATAGTTTTTAGTAGAGATACACTTATACAATAGATATAGGTGATATTAAATGCAATAACATAATTTTCAGGTTACAAAAAATTATGCGAAAGTCTTCGCGCTAGTAAAATTCTTCCTTGTTGTGCGTATATGTTCGCACATGTGCGACAGTTATT